TCACAACCGTAAAGCAGAACTGATCGTACAATGGCACAGTATACGCGACTTTGAAACTTCCGTGAAACGTTATGTCGCTGCCTTGGAAATGCGGGTGGTTATCACCAGTTCTCATGGTCTTGTTTGAGGCTCCTCGTAAGTGACGTTGTAGACGCTATCTCACCCTGCCTTGATCCCAGTCGGTCGGGATTTGCCGCTTTTTATCCATCAGTGCGACTGACTCATCAGATATCCAATGCTTCGGGCTGGCTGCATCTTCAAACCTTTGGAATCATATCGTACATAAGCGACTGTTGACGGGGATCCAATCGAGTAGTGCGGCTTTGGTTGTGTTATGGAGTACAATACCCAAACCACGCTGTCCTTCTGAACGGGCTTCATCATCACCTGACGTACGGAGGAAGAACCTCGAAGACAACCCCGGTGCACTTAAGTGGCATTTAGTACTAGGATCCTGGATTCGAGTGTTCGATACGCAGCATACATCAATCCCCAAAGAGTCCATTGTACGCGCCAGACACGCTTGTTGGCCTACCAGCATCAGAGTCCTCACGTTGAAGACCACCAGATTCAGTGTTTGACGAGGTTTCAGAATCTACAATCTTTTTTGTGTTAAACTACTTACTGGGCTACTTGGCGACGAAATTTGGCAAGTGGCGAATACGTTGTCTGAGGGTATGTTACGGGTCGTAAGAAGGGGTAAAGGGAGAGGGTTGGGTACGGAAGAAAAAGCGGTAAACAAACTATCGATTCCCGGGCACCCATGAAACCTCTAACGGCTTTTAATCACTTGGATTGGTTTAAAGTTTTCTCTGATTTCAAATGAAAGACACACTGTCGCATACATCTTGNTACAATGCCTACACCACGCTGGCCTCTTGAACGGGTTTCGTCATCACCTGACGTGCGGAGAAAGAACCTCGAAGACAACCCCGGTGCACTTAAGTGGCATTTAGTACTAGGATCCTGGATTCGAGTCTCCGACACGCAGCAGACATCTATTCCCAAAGAATCTATTGTACGCGCAAGACATGCTTGTTGACCTACCTGCATCAGAGTCCTCACATCAAAGGCCCCCAGATTCAGTGGCTGATGAGGCTTCAGAATATGCAATCTAGTTTGCGGTAAACTACTTACCGAGCTACTTGGCAACGACCTTTGGCGAGTGACGAACAAGTCGTCTGAGGGAATATCAGGGGTTGGAAGAAAGGGTAAAGGGAGAGGGTTGGGTACGGAAGATAGAGCTAAACAGGTTGGGATATCTGAACAGTAGCCCACTTATCACTACCCACCCCGCTCGATGCAAGGGGGCAGCGCCGTCCTGATCATCCTGCGCGACGACAGATGCAGTATGGAGTTGTTTTTTGGTTGTATGTAGCTTTTGTGACCTGGAAGCCAACGTTAGGATTCTCCTTGTACCTTGCCATTTCCCAAAGGGTTGCAAGGGATCGTCATACTTGTAACTATCCGTTTTGCTTGGTGGGCGGAAAAAAGCCAAGGATGATCGAACTAGGACCAGGCACGAGGATATGAAATCCCTAATCAGGACACTGGGTCACATCGGTCCCGTTACGCTCCCAGGATGGGAACCTCGGGATGATCGAAACCGATGGTTAGAGACACTGAGTGATATGACTGAATGTCGTAAACAGCGGCGTTCGTACATCTTGTCAATTTCTCTGCTACAATAGTCCAATGAATTTTGAATTTTCTCTCTGATTCTACTCTCAACCTATCCTTTCTTTTTACACTGTTCATCCAAATGGGCAAAGAAAAGCACCGCACGAAGGTGCATGGTTAATGATTGTACAAACTAAACTGCTAAAATCCAAATACGCTGACGGCGTCGCCTGTCTAATTCAAACTATAGAGTGCGCTGAGTGCACTTAGTAGATAAACACGTTACTCCATTGGACGTTTGGTACACGGCACTAAAGCTCCACTGCTAGGAAGGGTACACAGCTGATCGCTTTCCACAATCAGAAAAGACGCGATACTAAAGACGATGATCCGGTAAAGGCGATCTCAAATATGTCCAAGACTCGAGAGGCGTACGGGTTGAAATAGCTTTGATTTCGATGTGACATCAACATCATTGTACACAAAAATACAGTGAAAAGAACTCTACCTATCGTTGTCAAGTGCAGTGTACACAAAGTGAGAATGTATAAAACGGAGAGGAATTGGGAATAACTGCAGGCAAAGAAAGCGAACCTCTATAGTCAACACAGAGTACACATACATACGCATACAATTTAAAGCATTCTGGACTGATAGGGAATGACAGCAGAATCGCTACGACTGTCAAGAACTCTGTTCCCTGGGAGTTCGATTCCACCATTTGCTAAACCGATCAAACCGTAATGCAAAACATCCTCTATGGCGAGATTGAAAAGGAATGGGGATAAATGGCAACCTTGTCAAACTCCACTGGAGACGGCGAAGGGTGGTGGAAGCTGGCCATAGACCCTCGCCCGACCTGAGGTATGACCACCAACCCTTTAAGGACATATATATATATATATATATACATATATATATATATAACACCAACCTTCACAGATACGGCACCAAAATAACCATGAGTGAACGAAAAATGCAGGCACAGAAGCGGGGAGAACAAAACAGCCAATTTTGAGGGGAATAAGAAAATGTAAATGTGCAATAGCCCCAACTCTCCCCTCGTTATTCCAGTATAATTTATTCGTAACATCTCCAAATCCACAACTACTTTGTGTACCATTCATTGTGATTGTGCAATTTAAAACCTAGACGGTAATGCGATGGCAAGCTGTCTTGCAGCACCTCTGAGAACGGATGTCTACTGAAAACGCTCACTTCCTCAAAGTAGCTGTCTTTCCATCCTTTTTTGATCAGATCCTTAATGGCCCTTTCTGTCGTACGAGTTTAATAATGTTAGTTCAACACCTTGCTCCCCACTCAATTACGAAACCATACCCAGCGCTGACCTCATTTGGAGATGGCGCTTCTGCAGAGTATTCACTTTTAACTCTAAACCATCTGCGACGCGGTAGTTATTTTATCATTGCCTGCATTGTGATGAACAGCAGGCGGGGTGAATTCCATGATCGCGTAGGTTTGCTGGTTTGTGATGGAAACCGCCAATATCTGCTAAGCAACTCAAAAATAGCATTGCTGAATATCTGACTAGGTCAATCAATACCCTGAATACCGGGCTTTTAAGATTGATAAAAACGTCTATTATTGTGCATATTCCTCCCACATTCCAATGTGAAGATTAGCATAGGTAAGCTGTAGACGGCTATGGTCTTGTCCACGCCCATCTTATTGCGGCTCGAAGTTTACTCCTGCCGAACTTTTTTCAATTACACACGAAGTGATTTACAGCAAAAGGGGTAAACCCCATAATCAACGATATATTGTAAGCGGGAAGTATGTGGGGAACATTTAAGAACAAATTTGTTAATCCTGCTTTTGAAAAGGGTAAGGTAGGACCTGGGAAAAACGGAAATGGGAAGTGTTCTATAATTTCGCAGTCCCCGGTGAAAAAGATTGGAAGATAAAAGTCCGACATCTGGGGACAGAAACCTGATAAGGGTGAATGGTCGCCTGACAACGAGATGGACGAGAGGTCAAACTTGGAAGATCGTTTGTATGGTGAATGAACAGTACGGCACTTTTACAGCCCTTTGCCTACGAGTCCTCTTCTACTCGAAACAAGCTTTGGTTCTACCAGGCGCGATTACCTGCTTGCGCTCAACCGCAGAATTGCTTGTCGTTTTTTGAGTGATTGTTGGGTATTATCGCAGTTCTTGGAGGGGGCATGTTTGAATGATCACTTTGGCCTCTTCAGTTTGCTTACCTCATCCTGAAAAATAATCTATACAGACGTCATTTTACTACAAGAAAATGAGATAGAAAATAGATACGACCGACTAGGATGCAAAAGATCGAAGAAAAAAGGGAGCATGTGCCACAAAATGCAGGTAGTAGGAATACGGGGGGATTCACGATCATTTGATGGGAAATAAACAGAGCGGCACTCACCCCGTGAAGCATTCGGATTTAGTACTCTTTCCAGAGGGAGAAATTTGTATGGATCCATGTAAAACTGCACAAGCGCATTATTGTAAAGATGAGACAAACCTTCAGTCCCTCCTTGAATGATTTGCTTTTAATGGAATCATTCAGTTTCACTGAGAAATACTGCCAAAATAATTCATGTCAAAGTAACTTACAGCATCCTTTATGGGCCCAAAAATGTCATCTACTTTGCCCACTTCCTCTTTATTCTCCAGATAAACGAATGCGTTAAAATGCGGGATTTTTTCGTTGGTGAGTTTGCACACTATATCCTCCTGACATGCGTGATGATATGTCCCGACTTCGACAACTTG